CACACACACACAGACCCCAAATAAATGTTACCTTGCAGCTCAGCGGGAGGAATGCTTTCACACAGCAAGATGTCCATGTTTCGTCTATTTGGTTGGCTTCAAACTGCCATTAGCCAGAGATCCACGCTGGGGGCCCCACCCCCCATTGACAATAGTAAAGCTATATTCCAGATACAGTAATAAGAAACCTTTTGCTTCACCCACTTGCTCCCCTTGTTCAGGTAAGAGCTTAGAACCCACCTGCAGCAGCACCCATCGGGCTGGGGTTTGAGGGCCCACACACACAGGCAGCTATTTCGCTAAGGCTGGGCTCACACCAGTGACAGCGGCTGAGGCTTAGCCCACTGAGCCATATACTGCCTCTATAGGTCGTATTATATTTTCTGTTTCTGCTCATTTTAGGTCTTGCTTTTCCATCACATTTTAACACGATTAGCATCTAGAAATGTCTCTATGAAAATGCCTGCAAGGTTCCTCTGAGTCACTAGTTACTAGTCATATCATTGTGAATGATGTATTCAACACTGTGTGGTGACTATTTTACACATTTTAATAGTTTTAATTTGTTGCTGTCATACTATTCAAAATAGGTCTGCCCCCGCCTCACCCATAGTTTTTTTTCCTACACCGGTGTGCTTGAATTCCTCTACTGCAGTGGAAAGCCAGAGGTCAGAGGTCATCCATAACCATCCCACCTCTGTGCCCTGCAGTGCTCTGTCAGCTGTGGCATAGGGGTCCAGACCAGGGAGCCCATCTGTCGCAGGCGGACAGCCGCGGAGCAGCACGTCACGCTGGGTCCGGCCGCCTGCAGTGGCTTGCACGCCCCGCCCCTCGTCCGGACCTGTCGCGTGAGCGCCTGTGTCGGTAAGCGCGACCCAAGGCCCCAGTGGATGATTGGCCTTCTCGTGTGTGCATGCGGTCCTGTGGCTGTGGCGTGACCCAGGTGCAGGCGGCAAATTCACACGATTCTACGTTAAATTCATGAAATACTACGTTAAATGCACCAGACTCCATGAATCTGTAAAACATGGTGATCCTCGATGTCCTGGAGGCGTGGATTTTCTCGGCTGCTTTCGGGTGGCTTCCGATCGTCAGAGTTTCGTGATCAACATTTATGTCAAATATTAATGCGGCGCCAGTGTTTGCATAATATTTAGATTTATTTTCTCCTCTCGGGGTATCTCAGGCTGTTACTCGCGAATCTGCGGCCTTGTGTAAGCCTAAGCTTGAGTAATCAGATTTCTATGATCTTGTTATAATCTATTGTGTTTCCTTGTCCCTTTTCAATATAATTGCTCCTGTACTGAAATCTAAGCGCATTGGCCAAGTGTCAAAACTGCATAAGTTGACTTGAAACAGATTCTTCGGTCCCCAGGAACGTCATCAGCATTCTGTAATACCCAGCAGGACCCTGCAGCTTTATCTGGTGGTGGCCAGTGGCGTGACGATGAACTAGCCAGTCCTCCCCATTTAACTCGCAGATTTGTCATGGCTGTGCTGATTTTTAACAGAACGATCGGGCTTCTTTTCTCTGAGGTTTCTCAGGCTAATTCAGGGCTTCCATCTCTCACGCATCCGGCGTGACACTCGCGCTCTCAGACGTTCATGCAAGAAATCTTATGGCAAATATGTATTATTCCATTATAAACATAAAATTAGCTACATCAGAAGTGATGTTTGCAAACCCTACATACTATTTACAAGGTAATAAAACTCTTATATACATGTAAATGAGCGCAGATTCGTCTTGAATTGAAAATCTCACTCCAGCCAGCTGACCAAAGTTTGCAACCATGCTAGTTGTAGTAGGTGAGTAGTTTTTTACTGTTGGTCCTTGATGATGTATGTTTATGTTGAGTTGGTGCCTCAATTTGGACGTCAGTATCTGAGCAGATAGCTATATGAAAACCCAAGTTTGTTGTCCAGAAAATGTATCAGTTGCAGACTCTGATGCACTGGGCATATTTTTATTTGTTATTTTGAAAATGATAGATGTGTGTTTTGTAGGTCATACTTTAAAACACTGTTTTGTTTCATAGAGCAACAGGGAGAGCAGAGACCCAAGCTGTCTCAGAAGCGAGACCCAAGCATCCTGGGCCTGCACCGCATCTACATCCAGACCCAGCAGGAGAAGCGTGTCCACTTCACTGTGGGGGGTCGGGCCTATTTGCTCCCCAGGACCTCTGTGGTCATCAGGTGCCCAGTGCTCCACTTCCAGAAGGCCCTCATCCGGTGGGAGAAGGACGGGCGGGCTCTTCCGAGCTCTCTGCGTGTTGCCGTCACCAAATCCGGTTCCTTGAAGATCCACAGCCTGGAGGCTGGGGATATCGGGGTGTACCGCTGTGTGGCCGGGCCGGTTGCGGAGACCTTCGTCCTGAAGCTGATCGGGAACCGTAACAGGCTGCTTGAGATGGGCATGGAAGCCGATCGCCCAGGCGGGCACCTAGAGGAGAAGTGGAACCAGACAAATATGATGTGGCAGGTCGGGAACCGGAAGAATAAATTCTACCTGGATGATGGCCAGAGCCAGGAACGGGCCTTCCTGCAGGTTCTAAGCAGGTACCTGTCCAGCTTGACCGCTCCGGGTCGCCCCGTGCAGGACAAAATCCTTCAAGGCGCCCACAGCTTGGAGCCAAAGCAGTTCGAGGAGCTGGTGAGGAGCCTTGGTCGGCTTGTCGGGAAAGGGGACGTGACCGAAGGGCCCCGGGCAGAGCTGGGGGAGGACGGCACCACGACCAAGGCTTCCGACAAGAACTCGACAGAAGGTGCCGGCGAGGGGAGCACCGGGAGACGCGAGAAGCCAGTCATCATTCGGCAGAAGCAGCAGCTCCAAGTGACTTTCGAGAAAACCGTCAACATAAGTGTCGGGGGAAGCGTGTTTCTGACCAACGCCACGCAGACTGTCTTTCTGTCATGTGTAGCGCGGGGAGTGCCAAAAGCAGCAGTCTTCTGGATCAAGGATGGAGGCCCTGTACAGCCTTCAGAAAGGTAGAGAAAACAACCACCGTTCCACTTCGTCAACATTATATCATAACACGTCGGCTGTGTGTCATACGCTGTATCCCCAATGATCTTCTGAGCTTCACTTGATTTTAGGCTTCGGCCCCGTTCACTGAAATCTGCTAAAAATGTGCTGCAATGTCGACATGAAGAATCTTTCAGCTCTTTGGTCTGGGTTGAAGATGATGGCTTACTTTGGCAACGCTGTAGTAATTCAGTAAGACCTTTCATTCTGGGTCTCCTATGCCACCCTCAGTCTTGCGGTGAACATTCCAGAAGCGTATAATACTGAAGCACCACTGAATGTCGTCCTTGGAAAAAACCTGACTGTGGCCATCATAATTTTACTTTTGTTGGTCTGCTGAATATTGAATTTACCCAGGCACTCACCAACCATTGTCTTTCTCTGTCCTTGGAGGTAACCCTGCTAGATCATCAGTATGCAATCATCGTCATATAAACACTGCAAAGGACCTTACAGCCTGTGGCTTCCAAAGCCAAAGAGAGAAGAAGTGAAAGATCAGGACAGAGCAGCTCGGCTTGGACCCGCTAAATTAACTGTTGTGAACGTTTATTGGCCAGAGCTGTCTCGCATGGCGGGGAAAGCCACAAACTTATTTTATAAGCGGTGCTTTTTTTGGCGCGTGAGGTCACAGGGGATCAGGTCCTCCAGGTTCCTGACTAAGGACGTAGTGCATTTTATTTAAAGGCTTATAATGTTATTCCTCTGGCCCAGAATATTCTAGCTGATATTTCCAGAATATTCTAGGCGCGAGACCCTGCCGGCCATTCCGTTTTTTTTCTCTTCTTCCTTGCTGGAGGAAGAAGCCGACTCCCCCCCCCCCCCCCCCCCCCATCATCCCTGATCCGGGGGGGTCGCCAGATGAATGCTGATTAAAAGGCCGATCTCAGAGCGCTTCATTCGCCTGCTGCCAACCAAAGCAAAGCTGTCTCTGTGGTAGGCCTCCGAGCGGAGGTGCAACGGCGTGGACAGGTCACACACTGAGGGAGGCCGGTTAATTCCCCAGCTCTGCTTCATCCCACGCTGTCCGTGCCGATCACTTCTCCGTGTATCGCCTCTTCTCAAATCGTCGTATTTGTCTAACCTCCCCCGGCTTTCAAAGTGGGCCCCAAATCCCCCTAATGACAATTAATCCCTTTATACAGCTTCTACAAACAGTGTTATCAGATGACATCTCCTGAGTAATCTGACTAATATGTAGTTATGCCAAAACATAGAGCAGCAGAAGTAGGATCCAATGGGCGTAGAGCAGATATTCTTCTTACTTCGCAGGTGCGAAGTTTCTCGAGTGGAATATGATCCACCTGAGATGTTTATCGCCTTACAATCCAAACGCCTCCTGTCTTGTTCTGCTTAAGCTTTGAGCTGAGCGTCTCAAACGACTGCGCCGAGCTTTGGAGGGGCTCTTTAGGCTGATCTCATGGCTGTTTTAGTGTTTCTGGATAAGCGTGGTAGAAGCTCCGCCTCCCTTAGGCGTTTTCCCAACAGAGCCGACAAATGATCGCCTGACACCTTGGATCAGATTCAGAGAGTTATTAACTGCTGACCCCCCCCCGCCCCCCCGCCCCCACAAAACAACCTTTCAACACTTTATTATTGTAATTTAATAATAATGTAACTCAGTTAATAATGAATTATATTATTATCAAAAAAGGGAAATACATAAAAACGACAAAGCTGTTTACAAAGCGAGACTTCAGAAAATCCCAGGTTTCGTCTGTTGGACCTGCCAGCCTGCAGATCCTCCCCTTCTGGGGATCTCTGAACGCTCTTGGAGTTTTCATTAGAGCTTTGCGTTACAGATCTCAGGGGACGACCTGTCACGCGTACAACAGCCCAGATCTAATTATCGCACCCCCCCCCCACCACCATGCTTGCAAACAGCTTCCTGAATGAGTCTTGGAGTCATTAAGAAAAAGTCTAACTAATTTGTGGTGGGAGTGTGGTTATGAAGAGGTAACTTAAAATATGTGGGAGAGGTTTTTGAGCTGGGATTGTAACTGCCATCTTTTTTTTCCAAGAAAACTGAAAACTTTGAGGTAAATCTCAATTTGCTTTTAAATAGCTTTTTATTAATGAGGGGACTATGTTTTTGATTTTACGCCATATTGCTACATGTGCATTGATTTAACCCCAACACGACGCGCTTCAGGGAATTCTGCGTGTAATTATTTAATGCCTTGTGTGCCTGTTCATGAGCATCACGCGATGTAATTCCACTCCGCCTGCAAACTCTCCTGATGATTAGCTGTGCCTCCTCCTTCACTTAGGGTATCATGGGATAGTGCTGGAGTCCTGCACATCTCCAAACCCGGCGTGGGAGATGAGGGCGAGTACAGCTGCATGGTCACCAATGAGCTGGGCTCTGATACTGCGACCTCCCGGTTGCTGTTCGCTGGTGAGAAATGAACTCTCCATTTCTGGGAGCTGATCTGTGTGTGCAGCCTCTGCTGGGATACAGTGGAACAAGGGACAGGCACAGTGAGACAGGAAGGGAGAGAAAGGGACAGTGAGACTGGTACAGTGAGACAGGGAGGGATGGAGACAAAGGGGCAGGGAGACAGGCACAGTGAGTCAGGGAGGGAAATGGATAGTGGACAGAGACAGACTGAGGCACAGAGTGATGTGACTGACGTTAAACCCATATCTTTGTCACAGAACCCCCAATAATCAGAGTCACCTCAAGGGACATGTCTGACCTGGAGGGTGCCACCCTGCGGGCCATTGTGGGGGGGCAGCTCAGTGCTCGTCACGGGGCCAACATCACCCTGGAGTGTCCCGTTACAGGTCCGTTAGAGGGAGCGCGTCCGATTGCAAACAAGAGTGTTTTTTTATGCTAGCGGGGGTGTTGTGTGTGTGTGTGTGTGTGTGTGTGTGTGTGTGTGTGTGGGGGGGTACCAGTCAGTTCATGTCAGCTTTAAAGTCTTTAAAGTTTTTTTAAGTCTTTTAAAGTTTTTGTTCCTTTTCGTGTCCACAAATTTTTTACAAATACCCTGCTGTATTTTTCTTGTTAAGATTAATTAAAAAGAACCATTGAAATATCAAAGGCAACAGCTACATACAGCAGTTTGTGATTTAGCTTAATTTTGTTTCGTCGTAATTCATGATTTTTTCTTTCTTATGGAGCGTTTGTTTATCCCAAAATTGTTTACAAATGAAATCATTTGAGGGGGCAGGATTTAACATTTAACAAAACCGTCTCAAAAAACATCTTCGAACGATTGCCATTTCCATTTCGGATCTTTGACTCACAGACGTTCCGAATGTGAAAATTAGATCAAGTCCAGGTGTCCCTCCCCCCCCCCCTCACACATTGTGGCTGAAAATCCAGGGNCAGGGAGGGAAATGGATAGTGGACAGAGACAGACTGAGGCACAGAGTGATGTGACTGACGTTAAACCCATATCTTTGTCACAGAACCCCCAATAATCAGAGTCACCTCAAGGGACATGTCTGACCTGGAGGGTGCCACCCTGCGGGCCATTGTGGGGGGGCAGCTCAGTGCTCGTCACGGGGCCAACATCACCCTGGAGTGTCCCGTTACAGGTCCGTTAGAGGGAGCGCGTCCGATTGCAAACAAGAGTGTTTTTTTATGCTAGCGGGGGTGTTGTGTGTGTGTGTGTGTGTGTGTGTGTGTGTGTGTGTGTGGGGGGGTACCAGTCAGTTCATGTCAGCTTTAAAGTCTTTAAAGTTTTTTTAAGTCTTTTAAAGTTTTTGTTCCTTTTCGTGTCCACAAATTTTTTACAAATACCCTGCTGTATTTTTCTTGTTAAGATTAATTAAAAAGAACCATTGAAATATCAAAGGCAACAGCTACATACAGCAGTTTGTGATTTAGCTTAATTTTGTTTCGTCGTAATTCATGATTTTTTCTTTCTTATGGAGCGTTTGTTTATCCCAAAATTGTTTACAAATGAAATCATTTGAGGGGGCAGGATTTAACATTTAACAAAACCGTCTCAAAAAACATCTTCGAACGATTGCCATTTCCATTTCGGATCTTTGACTCACAGACGTTCCGAATGTGAAAATTAGATCAAGTCCAGGTGTCCCTCCCCCCCCCCCCTCACACATTGTGGCTGAAAATCCAGGGATATGAAGTCTCATTTAAAAAATGGCTAATTTGTCTGGTCGGGGGGTTATTTATGTTATTATTGTGCGTATTTGTGTGTGTAAATGTATTTATGGGGGGGGGGGTTTAGTAGTCATGGTGCTGAATTGCCCAGAGATTAAGCTACAGCACCCCCTATGGGGCACAAAAGCACAGGACAGTCACCTATGTGAGTCTGTGAGAAGTGTACCCTAGCGTTCTGTAGAAAATCTAAAGTTAGCTTCACACTGGTGATATTGTAGTTAAAAACTTGGCCTTACAGCTAAGAGGTTGCTGGTTTGAATCCCAGTTAGGCCCTGGTGTAGTGCTTTACATGATAAAATGTGCATTTAGGGGACTATTTGGGCTGCTTCGCTTCAGCTTGTTGAAGATGAATCAAAGAAGCTAGTTATTTTCGGGGTGTCAAACTCCAGTCCTGGGGGGCCGGAGCCCTGTGTAGCTCAGTTCTTTCCCTGTTCCACCACAAATGATTCAGCTCAAGAGCTGTGTGGTAATTAGCACAAGGAGGTGAATCAGGTGTGTTAAACGAGGGGAAACTCAAAAATGTGCAGGGCTCTGGCCCCCCAGGACTGGAATTTGAAACCAATGTGTAATTTTGGTTTAAATTATATTGCTCTCTGATGGGCATAGTAAAGTTTAATTTTTCTCATTTACTCCAAAACTGCTTGGTGTCATGTCTCTGCTGCCCTCCATGTCTCTGTACCCTCTTTCAGGTGTCCCGCAACCTTCAGTGACCTGGAGCAAGGATGGAGGTGACCTGCCCCCAAACGCTGTCCCTCTGAGGAGAGGCTCTTTATTCCTCCACAACGTTTCCATGGAGAATGTTGGATCCTACTTCTGCTGGGCCTCCAGTCCGCTGGGGAGGTCTGTGGCCTCCAGCCTCCTGCTGGTGTCGGGTGGGTTTCAGATATGCCCGTGTCCGTGCTTTAACACAAGCCTTATGGGAAGCTCTGGCTGGAAAGCACCTTGTTTTTTGTGAGATGTAGTCACTGTCACTGTCAGACCTTCAGGATAATCAGGTTAATAGCAGGTGGGCATCCGTCACACTGAGAAGTGTAAACACAGAGAGAGTTGCAAACGCTAGGCTAAGACCCGAGACTAAAGTGTATTTAGCTGTATTTCCTGTACCACTGCATTATGGGTAAGCACCGGGCTCTATGATTCCACCCAGGATCTCAGTACACAGGCTGCTTCCAGGGGCTTGGGAGGGGCAAGGGTACCCTGGCAGAATCAGGGGGCCCAAATCTTGACAGGGGCTCTTGAATATGTAAAATTATATATATAATATTATGTGAGGGGACCCAAGGTGACATTTTGTCAGGGAGCCCAGAATTTCTAGGTAAGTCTCGGCCGGCTTCGAATTAAAATTTGAATGTAAGTGGGAAAAGGACTAGAATGTGTGGTGAACGTAGTAAAATATTTACATTTAGTTGGTCAGCTGATCTCAGATCTTTTTTGTAGCTAGATGATGTTCTGGAGTGGTTCTGGGTAAGAACTTCACTCAAGGGTACAACAGCAGCCCCCTTGCCTGGAGGTCTTTAAGGCACGACCCGCGGGATCGACATGTTTTGTGAACAGGGGCTGCCCAGGGCAGGGCAGAGCGGCCACACAGGAGCCAGAAGAGGGTGTTGATGGCCTCTCATGTGGGTACTGAGGTCACTGCCAGACACGGGGACATCCTGCGGATAGGTGGGTCCCCCCGCTGAACCGCCCATGCCGGAGTCAGCATTGGCTGCAGGTCTCACCTTCGCCTACCACTGTTGTTCTTGCCCCCCCACCAGGGTGTCCAATCCTCCCCAACCACACCCAGGCCATCAGGTGGACCTTCCAGAACCGCACCCTGCTGGTTACCCACGGCCCGCAGCACAGGAGGCTGGCGGGGGGGCGCTTGCTGGAGGTGAACACGCTGCTGGCCAGGTCCAGCGGCACCTACGCCTGCCATGTACCTGCAGGCCACCAGAGGGCGTCGGCCTGGGCCCGTGTCCGCCTGGAAGGCGAGTCTGCCACAGGGAAACATCCTCACCCAATACCCCGACACTAAATGATGAAAAACAAAGAATCCTTATAACCTAAGTCTTTTGACGACCTAAATGTTGATGAAATGATCCAAAAGTCACTACGGTTTGTTCTTTGACCGTCGTCAGAAAAGCATTCTACTCTAACAGGAGCAGACATGCCCAGTTAAAAAAATCTTATGGGAAACTAAAGGTACAGTCACAGTTGTGCAAAAAAATATTCGCACCTCGTTCTGTTCCATTTTAGCTGATTGATGCGATAAGTACAAAATTCGCTTCTGGTAGCAAAGTGAATTCGCAGGGCATTTTCAGTCCAGGTTCAGTTAAATGAACTTTGACCCACAAATTTGTGTAGCTAAACCAATGTGCGGGGGGGGGGTTACCCCCCTCAGTTCCCTCATTATCATGGCTGTGTCTGGACACCCCCTGCTTTTTGATGCAAGCTGTCTACGCAGGGCTGCCGACTTCAGTCAGCCGGCTGGAGTGAGATTTTCAATTCGAGACAAGTCTGCACACGCATGCACATGCATTTACATGTATGTAACAGTTTACATGTATTACATTGTAAATAATTTGTAGGTTTTGCAAAGAATGCTTTTTATGCAGCTAATTTTTTATTTATAATTGAATAGTATAGATTTGCTGTTAGATTTCTTCCATCAGCATGAGAGTCTGAAAGCCTGAGTCTCACACCAGATACATGACAATTTATAAATTGCATATAAAATATTGCAAAATAAAATTGTTGCTGGGCTGGCAGTAAGTATTAAGATGGAGCTTAAGGGAATGACCTAAAGCATAATTCCAAAACATTTTATAAGCAGGGTTTGATAACTGCTATGCAAGTCCCTATTGGCAGTATAGTGGATTAAATGTGGCAGTAATATCTCATCATATCAATTCATATGCACACACTTATTTTATGCTCGTTTGCACTGTTATGAAAGAGAAGTTTCTTAGTAATAAACATATAATGTGGGAGAAGAACTTGCGTACCAGTTACCACAATACCTGATTTTAACACAGTATTTGTTTGTAACGCAATACGTGTTTGTAAGCCAATATCTGTTTGTAACACTTCATTAGCTAGCGTGCTTCTTGCATGTATTTCCATATGGTATTTTCATAAGTAACGGTATTCCAATATTCTGGCTGAAGGAAAATACCGCGGTATACTTAAGGCCTGTATTTCCCATTCATGCTCGACACTGTGAAGACACTGGATATACATTAGTGTGACCGTATCTAAATCAGCATTTAATCTGAAATTAATAATAAATAAGATGCAGATTAAATTATACATTCAGAATTATATTTTGAAATACTTGGATAGACTGTGAGAAAGATTACTTTGGAATGCCGCTTTTTGTTAGAGGTCTGTATCGTCCCATTAGCAGAGAGGGTGTATGAGGAAAAGCCCCCCCCCCCCCCCCCAAGCTGTGCGGGCGGCCAGTGTGCTTATGATTCGCTGTTCATCAGCTGATGATGTCTTGTGGTGAGCAGAGTTGACCTGGAGCCCAGGAGAGTGGACCGCTTGCAGTGCCACCTGTGGGTCAGCTGGGACCCGCTCCTGGAAGGCTCACTGCGTCGGCCCTGGGGGAGAGGAAGCTTCCCCGTCGGCATGCCATCACCTCCCCAGGCCTGAGAAGAGGCCTCAGCCCTGCAATGTACAAGACTGTCCTCCGAGGTGTGCTGATATCGGGCTTTCATTACCTTATTGCTGTATTTATGAACAGAGAGCACCATCTAGTGGGGGCAGAAAAAACAGCAAGTGGTTCATAAAGCTACATTTGGCCATCACTACCATTACCTGATTGCTGGATTCCGGTTTTTGATAGAGGTCTGTATCGTCCCATTAGCAGAGAGGGTGTATGAGGCAAAGCAGTTGAAAAGGGCCGTGTCTGACCAGCCCCTCTCTGATTGCTGGATTGCTGTTGTCCTGTGTATAGTTATGTGACACAGACAGAAAAACACAATCCTTGGTGACCAGCATAAGTGATGTGTGCTCACTTCTGTTATTTTTGTGCAGCTGGGGGGCCACCTTGTGGTCTGGCTGCTCCAATTCCTGTGGTGGTGGAACCCGGCGTAGGCAGGTGTCCTGCCAGCAGCTGAGCTCTTCCGGCAGGGTCACAACCCTGGCTGACTCCGCCTGCTCCGGAACGCCACGTCCTCTCCACGTTGAGGGATGCCATGGACACTCTTGCCCAGGCTGGTTTGTGGGCCCCTGGGGGCAGGTGAGTCTCTGCCCTCCTGCCGTAGCCATGACGATGGCCATGGGAATGATGATCTCATGATGTCACACCACTGCAGTGCTCCGGACGGTGCCTAGGCCCTGCCTCAGCGATCCAGAGCCGGCCAGTGATTTGCAAGCATCACAATGGCTCCACCCTCCCCGAATCTCACTGTGATCACAGGAACAGGTGTGGCACAGACCGGTACCTCTTAGCTGGTGCAGGATATCATACAGGTCTGGCTGAATGTAACTATTACTGGGAATTACAATTAAAATGAATCCGCTGCAAATAAAAGCCTGCTTCACTTCACTTCAGCATCAAGTCTTGTTTTCTGTTTGTGATAAGCTCTCACAAATAAGACTGACTTTAGAAACTATGCACTGATTATGAACCACAGCTTTATTTATAGCCCTGAGCTTTTTGAAGTACATCATATAGCAAGATCCTCTATGTATTTTTTGGGTTATGTATTGTAAATATTTACCACAAGATTGATGCTTTGATTGCAATGCCTTTGTTTAACTCTGACCTCTACTGGACAGTCTAGGAATTACACTTTGTGCAGGTGTTGAGTTGTGGTGTTGGTATATTGGGTGCCTTTAGGTTAGCCTCCACGCGGAACTGCATGTCCGAGCAGTGCAATGTGCAGTGGAGGGTAGGGCCCTGGAGAGCATGCAGTGCAGCCTGCGGCAGCGGGATCCAGTCACGCAGGGTGGAATGCATCCACAGGAGGACAGACAGGACCCTGGTGCACCAGCGCTGTGGGTGGCGGCGACGGCCAATCACATGGCGGCACTGTGTCATCACTTCCTGTGGCGGTAAGGCCTGCAGACAGGCATTTAGTCAGGGGCCAACTGCCCATAATGTGTGCCTCTAAATCATGGTGAAATGCTTACACAGGATTGGAAGTTAAGATCGCCCACTGGCCTGTGGCAAGTGATTTAGATACAGGAGAGTACAAAGAAACAGAGCGCTAGTCTGCTGGCTGCTAAATTAAGTTTTTGGCTAGTTCCAGCTGTTTGTATAATACAGGTTCTTTGAATTTCAGCGTGAATGTGGTCTGTTTTTGCTTTCAGGTGCAGCTTTTTAATAATGCCTTTTATTATATTTTAAAATGTGTGATTTGTGTGATGTGAATCCTCTGCAATATCTGGACTGATGTGGGTGGGATTATTTTTACCCCTCTTTAGAAACACCTGCTGATTTCCCTGTGTGTTCCTTATACGGAGCTCCTGTGTCCCATGATGCTCTGCCCTTTGTTGTGTTTTTTTTTCCCTCAGGTGAATGTGTAGATTCGACCCATTACTGTGCTGCCGTGAAGGAGCTCAGCCTGTGTGTCATAAATCTGTACCAGCAGAGGTGCTGTCGGTCCTGCCAGGGGAAGGAGACTCCGCCCATGCAGTGACAAGATCTGGGATTGGTCGAGGCACTAACTGGACGGCCAATGAAAATAATGGACTGTGTAAAAAGATAGACTAATGTTCTACCACTAACATCAGCGCTTGTCAATAATATTGCTGTATATATGAGGTGTATGTCTTTTGCGTCTGTTTTTTAAGAAGATGGTGAAGAGAGACGTGATTTGTTTTTAGCGTAGGGCAGAGGATGACCTAAGCAAGAGGCCCTGACTGATCCTTCCTAGATGCCTTTAATGTCATCACATCTCCCTCACGTTTGCTGGATGGTCTGATGAACTTCCTGCATTGCCATCGCACCTGTACCATGGCGGTATTGTTTTCCAGTTCAAGGTAATATTATAATTGTGCTGTTTATATCTGCTGCCAACATAATGCTCTCACCATAGCAGAGGCTCAGCGCCCAAAGCTACTAAGCCTGGCTTGATATTATAATGGAGTTCAGGTTGAAATGGAACTAAAGTACAACAGCTGAGCCCCTCGTGAAGCAGCAGCCTTCAGACAGACCATGGTGTTTGATGGAGATGCACAACAGGGCAATGTGTCAAATCCTGTGAGATGACAGGAAATGGTTAAACCTCTTTGATTATGTTAAGAAAGGCATTGCAAGAAAGTTCTGTATTATAGAATATATTCAGTATTTCACAGCACTGTTTCTATGCCTGTATATAATGTTTGACAGTACACTGTATAAATCCCACTGCAAAAAAGTAACACATGGTAAATTTTTAACGAATTAGCCAAGTCTTATTTTAGGTCCAAACATTTGCTAAACTAAACACAGAAGAGAAAAGGGCCTGTGGTTATGTGCTGAATTTTAAAAAGTGTTTTGAAATGACATTCTTCTCCTGGAAACCTGCCTAACTGGCACCACATCGTTCACTGCATGTCTGGTTCAGTTCCTATCAAGCTGAGGACGATGTGTTCGGTGGGAATCCACAGTGCTTGCAGATGTGAACTGCTTGAACTTTTTTTGCGGAGACAGAATGTGACAAAAAACTTATTTCCGTGCCAGTTAGATTGCTTTACAAAGATTTTACAAACTAAAATGAATGTTAAAATGTATTATGAACAAATCAAAAGGTGAATAATGTTTCTCAGTGTTTTTGGAAGGGACAGACTGTATGTGAGGGATCTCAGAAAGGTGCATGGATTTCATCCGGCCACCAGGGGTCACCCTCACTGGCAGCTGGTGCATTCCTAGTAATGGCCTTGTGTCCTTTTTTCAATTGTGTTTCAAAACCTGCCTTTTATGTAGGACTCTTAAAAGTGCAATATTGTACCCTGTGTGTTAACTGGCACTTTATTTTCTTATAACCAAAACCTGAAGATTGATGTATCTTTCTGCTCTGTATCTGAGATTTAAGGCCGAGCACCTTCCAAGTGTAGTGTGACTTCCGGAGGCATCTTCCTGGCCTGAACTTCCTGTCTCTGCTTCTGATTAGCAGGCTAACCTGCTGTTAGGCACTGGGTCCTGTCAGAGAAACTGTATTAACAAAATAAAGACCATATTACCACCAAATCCACTACAAACCTTGTATACGCTCTTTATTTTTAATACTATCCAATAGCAATTTTTGTGCATGTTTATAAAATATGTGAATACACTTGTGGTAATGAATTCATATCCCGCCTTATTTAATTCTAAGCTTGGCACATATTAATTAAGCTTTCCTTTGAATATTTCAATACGTAATGCTAAAACTGTACTTGACATTTGTTCTCATTATAAACATGTCAAATGTATTGAATGAAATCATGTCCAAATGTAATACAGAAAGACAAAGAATGGTGCTTGAGTAAAATCAATGTAATGAAGTTAATTGTTAATGCTGTAATATGTTGCAGAAATATTTCTTGTAAATAAACATTGACCTGTTGATGTTTTTCCATTAACCTAAAATTCTATCTGTGGTATATTTATGACGGCTTATATGTGACCATGATACCTTAATACATGTGTAATAATGATGTTCGCGACACAGACAGCATTTTGGGTGACTTTTCAGCACATAATCACGGTTACACTTCATGAGATCGCAGCCAGCTCAGTAGATGGGATCTCAGGTGCACTGGCCTCATCGTTCCTTTCCTGAGAAGACAGCCTGCGGTAGAACCTATGGCCTCGTTCATCGCTCTCCTGGAAGATGTAGCCGTGAGGAGAGTCAAAGCTGGCCGGGCACATGTCCGTCTTCTTGGCTGTGAACTCCGTGCGGTACATCGTTCTATCATCAAATGGAGACTGTGTTCTCATGGGGACATTTTTGGGTTTAAAGCTTGGGTTGGGTTGGATCTGATGCTGGATGTAGTGCAGCTTAGAGGTAGTCAGGTTCTCCATCTTCTCGCTGGCTTTTGGTACTTCTTCTGGCTTGCTTCTCTTCTCTTGTATCTCCACCATCCATGGTCTGAAGGTCTCCCTTGTGGTGGTGCTACCTTGGAAAGGAGCCGTGGACCTCTTTGCATGTGAGGCAGGCTTGACAGGGATGAATGGCTGTACGTTGTGTCTGATAAAATCATTCTTGGTGGTTGTGCTTAGGTCCATGGGTTTTGTGGGGCTTTCATAGTCCACTGATTTTGAGAGCTGTGGTAGAGTCACTGGCCACTGCTGGAAACTGTCCCGGAATTCCGTGCGACTTTCAAAGGGGGCTTCCGAGGTTGCCTTGGTAACCAGTGGCTTGCAGCTCTCTGGCGGCTGTCCAGGTAAGCCTTGGAAGTCTGACTGGTGGGTGGTATGACCCTGGAAGGGCTGGTTGTTGGGCTTGTTCTCCTCGGGGGCCCTGACATACCTGGCCTCCAGTGCGTGAGGCACGTATGAGACGCGATTGCTGGTGAGGCCGTCAAAGGGCACGCAGGAAAGCTTGGCTATGCTGGGAGGCTTAAAGCTTTCCCGAGGAACCAGGCCTCTAGGAACAAAAGCATCCTGGAATGTTGTTGCATTTCCAAACTTTCCAGATGGAAGGCGATAGGTAAATTCTGGTTTCGCCAATTCCCTCTTGCTAATTTCCCATGGTCGGAAATCCTCTTTTAAAAAAGGAGTGTTATATAAGTGAACATCTTTAAAAATGACACCGAAGACCTTTTTATGTAAAAAAAAAACAATAAGGTGATTCGGTCATTTGTATGCTAAAAAAACGGTGCCCAGTTTATAATTACTGTACATTTAGATCATTATAGAATGGATACATTTTAGGTGCCAGAAAATACATTTATTGAAGTAATCAGATGAATGGGTACAAAATTAACCTTGGAATCATCACCTTTGTAAGTGGGCAGCGTGTCCAGCCTCCCCTCGTTCAGGTGGGATCTCCGCAAGGGTCTCACAGGTATGAACGGCCGCACCTGGTATCTGTTGAAGTCCAGCTTGTACGTCGTCCTGAGATCGATGTCTCCGCTCTTAGGCCTGTACTCCACTTGCTGTCTCACATACTGGGGCGTAACTTCATGAGGGATGTAGTCGGACCTGGACGGGATCAAGAGGGAAGACATTTAACCCCTTCGTTTCAGACTAGAAGATGTCAATTTCAGGGCACCTATAAGCATGTAAAATCACTTGCATGCTTATTACTTGAAGGTGCTGGTTCCATCCATTCTCTCCCGATTCTCCTGGTACTCCAGCTTGGGTTTTCTGCTCTTGGGGGGGGAGTAGGGCCCATATGATGGGTATTTCTCTGCACTGTCTGAACATGAACCTTGGGTCCCTTACTGTACAAGGCAGTGGACTGTTGTTTGCAGCGATGACGTCTGTAAGGACAGAATTTAATTTCGTCAAACACCAGAGGAGACATCTTGTAAATAGAAAAGCTTGACTGTTGACAACTTGACCAATGTACCACCTAAGCTGTTTCATTACAGTTAGTAAAGCTAGTATTCATTACAGTTTCTTGAGCTCAAGTTTCAAGTTCAAGTTTCGGGTTTTATTGTCAGATGTGTTCTGGGGAACACAGTGAAATTCTCATGTCACAGGTGCAGATTTGGTGACAGGCGAATGAAGGGACAATAGGACCAACAACAGTGTTTTGCTTTCTTTGTAATAACAGCAGATGATGCACCATAAACATGTTACATGGCTACATATTTATATATTTTTAACATTGTAACTGTGACTCAAAGACTTTCGTGACAGAAAAAGCTGCGGGCGAACAGGTATCGATTGTTACCTGATACCCATTACTGGGACTTCAGTGTCAATGGATAATTAAAGAAGTAATCAGCCTGAACATTTCCTTCCATTCATCTTCCAACCGCTTATCCGGGACATAATTAGTATGTAACATAGTATCCATAACCTCCATATAAAATTATAAGCTAATTTAATTTTTCGTAAAATACAAATTTCAGCCTTAGAAAATGGACATATCTTAGATGCAGAAGTTCTCAAAGCAGGGTGGTGCTTTTAATTTCCTTACCCGCAGTTACAGATATTACAGATGCACGATCGTTTCATGATTTATTCTCCTCGTAAAGATAGTTTTCCCTGCCGCAGCGACAACCCTGACCGACCCTCTGTACAGCCGACCCACACAACACAATCGTTTCCAGGGAAGCGTCAGGTCTCCCAAGCAACCGGAAGGCGTCCTAGCGACGACGTCGCGTTATCCGTACGTGCGTCAGAGGGCAAAGTTCACGAATTGCAACTTACTTCCGGAATAGGAGATCAACGTGAGTGCCGCTACTGTCTGTTGTAAGTTTGATCTTCATAGTAGCAGTTTATGACTGAATTAATAATATTTGCGATTGTGTAGATTAGTTGAATAGATGGGATAACTGACTTGGGTTGATGGAATTTTTAGAATGTGTCACCTCACGTGTAGCTTTTCCACGTTACAGTTACTTTAAGTTTTTAAGTAAAATGTATATACTGTAGACACGCAATTAAAAACTGACACTCCAAGTGAGTCGAGAAATGCTTGAATTAACATGTGCGTTCGTGCTGTCCTACTGCGGGCGTAAAGTGGCATGGCGGTGTTTTCATTAATGTTATCTAATTGTTGTGTTAAATTTTCAGTTATCTTTATTGTAGTAATGATCATTATTATAAGTTAGCTGGATCAAAACAAATCATGTCATCGGAGTGAAGAATTAAGGCAGTAAACATTGAATATTAAGAGAACCATAAATAAATTGTTCTGTGTACTTTAAACGAAATATTTTCTTTACAGATCAGCTGTAAATCATCGATTCAGCCTTCAAATATGGGGCACACAAGTTTGGAAAAAATCATTGCACTACAGAAAAATACATCGAATATAAGGAATCTGTGTATTTTAGCTCACGTGGATCATGGTACGTTATGTGTTTAACGATCTAAATTTAGTTGTTTATTGGTACTCAAGTTATTGCAAATGCTTCAGGCGCCTAATGTGATTCTTGCTTTGTTATGTGTAAATAGAAAAATGAATTTCTTATTTGCGTGCCAGCTGCATTCAAAGAAGTACAACAGACGATTAGTGACGGTAAATAGCAAATAAAGGAAAATAACACATTGTTAGGTAAACTTGAGAATGTACCGGAGGTGCGTTAGAGGTAGAACCCGGGGGATGAAGTATCAGAGTTCATAACAGCAGGATTTGATAGTTTGTTGAGGACCTGCATTGCTTACAGCTAAAACCCGAGACAGTTTCTTCTGTCAGACTATCAGACTGCTGAACTCTGGCCAACGAACCAGTCCGTCATCCATATCAGCCAATGCCCATTCCCGCATAGCTGTTTGTTGTTTTTTTATTAATCGTATTTATCGTTTGCCCACTTTTTATTAGTACAATGCCATATATGAACACTTCATGTTGTTTTGTCTTATTCAGTTTTTTTTGTTGCACTACGTCTTTGCTGTCGTTGTGGGAATTGTGTGGCTCACTCAACTGTACTGTGACAAATTAAGTGATTTAATTATTTGATTAAATGTGTTTTTTAAATGTGGCTTTTAGGGAAGACAACGCTTGCAGACTGCTTGGTCGCCAGTAACGGTATAATATCCAGTCGAATGGCGGGTAAGGTTAGTATTTTAAAATCTCACTACCCAGTTTAACTACCTATTTTGGTGCTTTTTGGAAGAAGGGTTTATTTTTCTGTGTTACTATGGTGAGATGCAATGGTGGTAAACTGTTGTTTTATGCAAATTCCTAGTTGAGGTATCTGGACAGCAGGGAGGATGAACAAATCCGAGGCATAACGATGAAATCCAGTGCGATATCACTGCATTACGCCACTGGTAAGTCAGAGTGATGAGTGCCTGTGGCAGCAGTGGCCAGTCTCGTCTGCAAAGGGCCGGTGTGTATGTAGGTTTGTGGGGTAACCTGTAGGGCAGCTGTTCAAACCCAGGTGTGAGGACTCTTCAGCCAATCAGTCCTCTAATTAGCAATCTGATTAGGGAGTTGCAGTGAAAACCCGCACACAGAAGCGGCCCTTTGCGGATAAGACTGTCCAGCCATGGCCAAAGAGCTGTAGTAACTGAATAGCAGCATGTGTCCCAGTGTCTGATCAATGGATGCAATAAAGTTCCCAATTGATAAATAAGACAAATCCTTTATTTGTTGTATGCACAAGTACCAGTACAGGTACATTGGAATGCTTCTCTAGCTGTACATAGCTTAGGGGTCACAGCACAGGGTCAGCTAACGTGCGGCGCCCCTGGAGCTGGGGGGGGGGGGTTAAGGGCCTTGATCCTGGGCCCAGTAACATGTGAGTGTTCTGCCGAGGTCGGGGCTTGAATCTGAGATCATCCGATCTCGGCACAGAGACTTAGCCCAGCTGTCTGCCTTCCTACCTCAGGGGGCCAGGAATACCTCATTAACCTGATCGACTCACCGGGCCACGTGGACTTCTCGTCCGAGGTGTCGACAGCAGTGAGGCTATGCGATGGGGCCATCGTCGTCCTGGATGCGGTGGAAGGGGTCTGTCCTCAGGTGCGAGTGAGCGGCCGCATTCCCGTTTACCAGCCAGCAAACACACCCAGGGTGCCCCCTGTCCGCTGCCTCGTGTGATTTATCAGTGTGAAATACGTCTCTTTGTGTGGAACGTGGTCATGTAAACCCGATGCCGATGGATCCGTGTATAATGGCTGCTCATGTGTTGTTTTAGACCCAAGCAGTGTTACGACAAGCCTGGCTGGAGAACATCCGTCCGGTTTTGGTCATTAATAAAATCGACAGGCTGATCGTAGAACTGAAGCTCACGGCACAGGAAGCGTACATCCATCTTCAGAAGATACTGGAACAGGTGTGTCACGCAGCTGTCAATCATTATTGTTAGCTTTATTAATTTGTTTTTATTTTTATATTATTTTCAATTTTCGTTTGCAATCCAGTTTGATTTTTAGTTCATTTTCAGTGTAGTTTTATTACTTTTTATTTTAAAGATATGCAGAAACCCTTCACATCCATGTGAGTTAGGGGCGAATAATACTTGGGCACCCCTAAGCCTAAACCTAACCCTAAGCCTAACCTGTAACAGTCTGCAGGCATAAATGATGGCATAAAGGGTCCATTTATTACCAATCTCTAAACTAGATTTGTGAAGTGACTTCATCATTTTCTATCAAGACCTTTTTATATCATATACAAATCATCTAAATTATTAAGCCCCTGTATGAACAAAGTCACTACTGTACGCGCTGAGAGCATTACGTTTTGGACTGATTAACGACACTGAAACGGTAAAAAGTTATGGCTTGAAACGCGAGATTCTGTAGTCATAAAGACCTAATGATATTAATTAATTATACGATTTCTTGTGATCCAAATCATTTTCAGTACTGCGTCGTTTGTGAGTTTCTGCTACATTTTGTATATCTCCAAAAAGGAGATATACAAAATGTTTAATTGTTTAATTGATGACAGCCAACTCGCTAATAACCAAAACTGCAAATGTCAAATGCGCGATTGTGAAGGGGTTACTATGTTTCTGTTTTATATGTTGTGGTTTCCTTATAAGTTTTAGTCATTTTATTTCTATGGATAGACTGAAGTTGTAGACTTGATTTATGCAGGGTTGCCAGGATCCAGACTCACACAAGAAATCTTTCGGCCAATCTGTATTATTCCATTATAAGCCTAAAATTATCTACATCAAAAGCTTTGGGGTAGTTTGCAAACCCTACAGACTATTTACAAGGTAATAAAACTGTTACATATAAATGGCTGTGCATGTGTGTACAGACTTGTCTCAAAATGAAAATCTCACTCCAGCCAGGTGACCGAAGTTTGTCAAACTGTTTATCTGTCCGATCTTTAGAGAATCCTATATAAAATGCAGTTCACATTATGTAGGACAAGACATGTTCCTGATGTTATTAGTGATCAAAGATAAACCATTACTTTAGTATTATAGCGGTAGCGGAAAGTATTTGACGTTTGTTTTTATCTTCAGTGAGTTTCAGCAAGTTAGCGTTTAGTTGTTTTATTTGCGTATGTTGTTTTATTTCAGTTTATGAAAATGTTAATGAAAGCTAAAACTATAACATAATGATAATGACGCTGGTCTAAATGGATGCCAGGTAAAACATCGGCGTCTGTTGAGCGTTTGCTGGTGATTGTTCAGGTGAACGCCGTCACTGGCTCCCTGTTCACCTCCAAAGTCCTGGAGGAGCGAGCGGAGAAGGACACGGAAGCTGCGGGCACGGGCGACGGAGGCGATCAGGTCTACGACTGGAGTGCCGGGCTGGAGGAGACTGATGATTCTCACCTGTACTTTTCACCTGACCAGGGGAATGTGGTCTTTGCTAGTGCCATAGATGGATGGGGTTTCAGGTACCGTCTCTCTCAACTCCACTAGATTTTAAAGTGACCCTGCCGGTTTTTTTTACATAAATAGACCACCAGGGGGAGCCTTAAGCTCGCGTTTTAAAAACACTGCAGCCTGTAAAACATAATTTGGAAACGGTTATATATCAGAGCCAATAGTCTTGACTTAATGGTTAATAATCTGACGTTGCCATATAGTAAATTAGAAAAATGTTTACAATCGCCATGCTAAATAATCGTTCTGTATAAGATGTAGGCTACATGTGCATGTTGCTGTTCTGTTGCTGTGTTACTAAGATTCTTGCATTCAGGAAATGTCAAGAAAAAAAAAAGGCTTGATGATGATTTAAGTATGTTTATAGAGTTACCAGTGGGCCGCGATGGGTTTGATGAGAGCGTCAGACTCAGGTTTACCTGTCACTGTTAATACTGTCAGTAAAAAAAAAAAAAATAGTTTTAATTTTTAGTAAAGACCCTTTCTGTTCTGTGTTCTGCCAGTTTATTTCCATTTCCACAGAGCCGGTATGAACAGGTCGGGCAGATGTCGTTGTCTCTTTTGTGAAGTTTAGATTGAGTCTGGCTCAACATTTTTGTCTGGCAAAAAAAAATAGCCGGCAGAAGCTTCCCCAGCACACGCTGTCGCGCGGGTTAATAATGGGGCGCGGTAATGGGTTTCGAGTAGAGAACCGAGTCAATTTGCATCAAGATTGTATTTTATTTCAGACAGCGGATAAGTAATTTAGATACTTCAAATCAGGTCAGTGCAAGGTTGAAAGAGTGATTAATTTACTTTGCCTGTGCTTAGTAATGCTGCTTAATGGACTTCAGGAAAAGAGCAGGCTGCCGTGGGCTGGTGTGACTGGAAGATCACAGAGGCTAAGGGGGGTGGGGGGGATGGAGAGACCAAGCTTAAGGGGGAGCTTTGCCATTTTGATTGCTAAAATCTAAAAATAAGGCCATTAGCACATAGCTAAGGCAGTCTGGCCAGTAATCAAGTCATTTTATTGTCACAGTGTCTTCTGCAGTTTGGAAAGATTATGGAGGGAGATTTAGTATGAAATGCAGTGGATACTGTCTCTGTAGTCAAACTCTAATATTGCACATCGTGCCTCTGAGCTGGAAGATGGAGGGGGTTTTTTTCTCTCTAACGGGATGGTTATTAAATTGGCAGAAACGCGTCATGCTAGGCTAGTGCTGAGTCCTAGCAAATCTAGCGCTTCCTGATGTGAGTCACCGGGGCGCCGTCTCAGAGCACTGCAGGTCCTAATGACAGAAACATCTGGAAAAGATGAAGGTCAGATGTTTAAGCGAGCGGGGCAGTCTGATTTGAGACGTTGGTCCAAACCGAAATCGGAGCACGGAGAAGGGGGTTGCAAGCCAGTTTACGGGGGGGAGGACGGTGACTTGGGACGGCTGTAGGGGTGATCATGATCACGCCTGTCTCTGCCTTCTGTCGTCCTGTGTTTCAGTGTCCGGCAGTTTGCTCACATGTACAGCCAGAAGATGGGCGTCAGGTCTGAGGTGCTGCTTAAGACCCTGTGGGGCGACTTCTACCTCAACACCAAAGCCAAGAAGATCATGAAGGGAGCTCAGGTGAGCAGGGGCAGGTTTCGCTTGAGGCCTGGCAGCCGTCTGCCGCATCCCTGTCCCATTTGTGTGACCTGCTCGCCCGTCCGTTGACGCGATGATGATTTATCCATAAAAGTTTTCTTCCGTAGGCCAGTATTGTACAAATAGCCAACTTTGTATTGGGCTTCTGAAGCAGACTGCCGCCTGTACTGACAGGAGACATGCAGACAGCCAGCTCTGGGGGGGGGGTGTACTGTGGCGGTCTGTGGGGCAGTAAAGATGATGAATGTTGTTTATCATCTGCACAGCAAAATCAAATTAGTCACTGTGAGTCACAAAGCCTCCCCTGTTTAAACAACCCCACCCCTTAAAGATAATGTCAGCGTCTCGCAGGCTGTCCTTTTAATTATCAGCCCTCTTAATGAGACGCGGCTGAGCTGGGTGGTCTGGACGTGGCGAGGGGTGACGGCAGCGGTGCTGCGCTCACGGGTTCGACCCAGGGGCTTAGCTCCGCCCCAGAGGCTTAGGTCCAGGCCGATGGCTGGTGATAGGTTGTTTGGGCCTCTGTGATCTCTCCTTAATGAGCCCCCCCCCCCCCCGAGTATACAACATAGGCTGCCGTTTGTGTCCACTTCAGAGCTTTGATCTCCCCTTGTTTGGCCGAAGTGAATTTTTTTTTTTCTTAATTGGTATCCCTGTGATGCGTTGAGCCTCTCGGTTATCTAGAGCAGAGAGACAGCTGTTCTGCCCTGCCCTACCTGCCCTGGTATTCTTGGGTTAGGACCAGAACTGGAAAAAGAACTATGTACTCTACATATGACAGTGCAGTCAGATCATTTTTGCTTGACGGTCTTGTGGAAACGGAACAACTGTGGAAAGAGCCCCGCATGGGCTGGCTGATGCCCGTCTAGGGGGTGAGGGGGTTTGGCATTGAGACAAACACGGCTTGGTGTGCAGTGTATGCCCTTTAACCCCCCGTCATGAGACCGGCATGGCCGGTCCGAGATCATGGCTCCCCGACAATCCATCATCGCCTACCACCAGGCAGATGAGCTTCATCTAGAAAATTTCCATCAATACACGGACCCCCAGCTGTCGCCTTTGACCCCGAGACTCTGCCCATCAGCTGCTATGTTTCACCTCCCTGCCAACACGACCAGGCGAGTCTGCGGTGACCCCAAATACGGTCCCATCCACTGACCATTAATCTTTCGCAGTATCGCATATCACTTCGGAAGACGGCGATTAAGTAACTGTGCCACGCTCGCGCCTCGCCAGTTAATTACAAAAGCGCAGGTCGGAAAGTAATTGCTTTAACAAATTAGATTTGGCGAACACACAAAAATCAGATGTGAGAGATTAATTCTGAGTTTCAGTCTATGATGACTGTGACTCAGACAAGACCGTAGCTATTAAAAAGCACTTGATTATGTTGAGTTTCATTAAGAGGCCGACACCGAAAATTGGGGAACCGTTTGAGGAGGGTAAACATGTCACCGGTTTGAGATCGGCGTCCTTTCGAGAGGGGAGAGATTACGGGGACGTTAGTGTCACTGCCAGGCGGTGGTCCGGGGAAAAGACCCCTGAAGTAGCTCCTCATATGGAGTCGTTTTGGGCAAGGCGGACTGGAGCCAGAGTCATTTCTCTGGAACAGAGCACTCTGGGGGAAGGCCGTGTAACTCTCGGCGTGCCTCATTGACCAGGAGAACACAGAAGGGATTGGTGTTAAAACAAAGCGCGCCAGTCGTAATTGGAGGATTTAGTTTGACCCTAAGAGTCCCGCAGTAAATCCCTCAATTACCTTAGTGGGAATCGTCAAAGCTGGCGGCGCTTGGCTCGAAGTCGTCTTGGACGCCTTTGATTCCATTCTGCTCCCATTAATTTTTTTTTATTACGTCTTTTAAGGCCAAAGGAAAAAAGCCACTGTTTGTCCAGCTTGTCCTTGACAACATTTGGAGTTTGTACGAGGCCGTCGTCACCAGAAGGTAACGAAGACGCTCGCTCTCTCTGACGTCCGAAGCGCGGTGGACGCGGGATGTCGGGCGTCGCTGCTGACGACTTCCTCATTTTCCCCGTAGGGACAAGGAGAAGGTGGAGAAGGTGATCTCCTCCCTAGGCATCAGAGTGGCGGCCCGAGACTCCCGGCACTCAGACCCCAAAGTGCTCCTCAGCGCCATCTGTGGCCAGTGGCTGCCAGTGTCCCAGGCTGTCCTCAGTATCCTTCTTTGGGGATTGTCAGCACCGAACTGCCTTCCAGCTTCTGCTCGGGCCCAAAGGGAGGATGACCTGGTTTCTTGTGCAGTGTGAGCAATAAATCAGCTCAGGAACATCGCCGGTCTAATTTAATATTTTCGCAGGGGTTTCTGAAAACGTCGCCCCAAAAAAGTTAATTTATATTTCTAAGTGTGACTTTCTTGGGCTTTGCGTAGCTGACCTGCTTGCTCTCTGCTGTGCTGTGTACCGTGTAAAGTATAGCTGTAGGAGTGATTAACCAGCTGGTCTGTGCTTGTCATGGCTGGACTTCTCACTGAGGAAGCCTTACGTCAGCTAGCTTATTGTTAGCATGTTGAAAATGTTGGAGGTTGGGATTCGCTTTGTTGTTGCTGTTTATTATTTATGAGCATGCTTTCAGTAAACACTGAGAGTTGCAGCCTGTCTGTGCTGTTCTCTCTGTTCTCTCACGCCTGTTCTTTCCCGCCTCGTCCGCATTAAATAGCTCCCCGGCAGTGGAGGACACCTTTACGCCTGTCTTATCTCAAGACGCCTACAGCCAAGACTGTTTCTCATCATATTAATAGTTTTTTTTTTTTTTTTTTTTTTTTTTATAAAAAGCATTGCTTGTATTTTCTGAGCATAAGAAAGGAATAATTGAGCATGAACGTTTTAAAATAAAAATAGGGAAAGCTTTCTGTGCTTTGCAGATGGCTCTGCTAAGAAGGTGATACTGGAGGTGTTTGTAAATGCAGGTCCTCCGGCTCCTGGTTAGGGCTACCCACAATGCACCCTTCCTCCGAGCACTCCTCCTTAACCTGGACCCGCAGCGATGGTGTGCGAGAAGCTGCCGAGTCCGCTGGACATGCCGGCAGACCGGGTGGAGAAGCTCATGTGTGCTGGAGCGCGGAGGTTCGACTGCCTGCCGCAGGAAACTCAGGACCTCAAGAGAGGTGATTGCAGGAAGCCTGAAAATATTTTACTTTTCCCCTCTTTGTCTTATTTCCCCAAAGCTGCTTTCTTTTTTGGGATATATTTAGTCCTTCGCTCTCTGAAGCTCTTTCAGATGAAACTTTCAGGCAGCTATTTTTTTAAGTGAATTTTTGTTTAAGGTTTCCGCCTGCCAGTGGCTCTCTGAGGTCTAATTGTTCTGTTTGTGGCCTGTCCGGATCCTCATATTTCCTGTAAATGAAATGCGTTTTTCCGCTCGACCTGCATGTTTGGTTTTCCGGCCGAATCGCCGTTCCTCTCCATCCACAGAGATTCCCTTTGATCCGGGCCAGATCAGCACCAGCGGCTCGGTTCTGCTGTGACCCTGTAGGTGGGGGACCAAACTACTCCAGGCCCAGTCTGTGTTTTTACATGTGTACACGTGTCACTTTACGGGATCTGCAAGCCCTCTGCTTGGCCCGGCAAGATGTGGGTTTTTAATGTTTTTTTTAGCCGGCGTGCTGCGGGCCATGATGGCATTGTCAGTCTCCCTTATCCCATTTCTGCTCCTCTTGCAGGATGACATTTACGCGGGCTGTTGCTGAAACGAGGCCCGGATTTCGGTCTGGAGTTTGCCACGCGCTTTCCCACATCTGACGGTCAATCGCTAAATTGTCGCTAACTCGACATTTTTTGACTCGGATGGGTAAAAGAGAACGAAATGACGTCTCATTGATGGTGACGGACAACGTGCCGGTGGATGGCTTCGGTGGTCACCAGCCGACGGTCCGTGTGTCTTTGGGAAACCGCAGTAATAGCGTGGCGTCACATAAGAGAAAAGACACACTGCTGTCTGGGGAAGCTGACGCTGTGATGTCATCAGGAGGCGCCCCACTGCCCACCGTTCCGTCGCAGGCCTCCTGCATATCGACGCCTTTTGCATGCATTTCTAGTTGTCGCACGTCTGTTGTCCTGTATCTAGTTAAAGCAGAATTTCTGTGCCCCATTCCTGTCTTTAAAGTTCATTTTCCCGCCTGATAAATCCAGGCGATGGACATGTGCCAGGAAACCAAGCGCAGATTTTTTTTTCAATTTACAAATATGATTCACTAAACTGGTGTTTAGTGTGGATTCCTACGACAATTGACACAGACATTTCCATTAACTTTTTTTTTTTTTAAATGATAATTTGATGGTGATACAGCCATTTTAGCCGATTTGATTGCTAAACGATTTAATGAAGTTGCAGTTAGATAAAGGATGAATGGAAAAAGTGTGAAATGCACACGGTGGAGTGGGCCCCCAAGAGCCGGGGCCCCATAGTCTGAGTATGGGGGCCTCGCAGTGGGCCCTGATCTGAGTCGCCACAGAAGGGGGGCCTGTAGTCTGATGACAGAGGACCCTGCAGTGAGCTTCCGAGGACGGGGACCCCGCAGTCAGAGGATGGGGCCCGCAGTATGAGGATGGGGGCCCCGCAGTCAGAGGATGGGGCCCGCGGTATGAGGACGGGGGCCCCGCAATCAGAGGATGGGGCCCGTGGTATGAGGACGGGGCCCCGCAGTCAGTGGATGGGGCCCGTGGTATGAGGACGGGGGCCCGCAGTCAGTGGATGGGGCCCATGGTATGAGGACGGGGCCCCGCAGTCAGTGGATGGGGCCCGCGGTATGAGAATGGGGGCCCCGCAGTCAGAAGATGGGGCCCGTGGTATGAGAATGGGGGCCCCGCAGTCAGAAGATGGGGCCCGTGGTATGAGAATGGGGGCCCCGCAGTCAGTGGATGGGGCCTGTGGTATGAGGACGGGGCCCCTCAGCTTGCACAAAGCCGCCCTCCCTTCCTTAACTCGTGTGCTTCTCCCCATTCTCTTTCCAGCATTTTTGGACTGTAAGAGTGATCCAGCGACTCCAGCCATCATTTTTGTGTCCAAGATGTTTGCTGTTGACTCCAAAGCCCTGCCGCGGAACAAGCAGAGGTATGTGAAGGATCTGACTTGATTGGCGGGTCAGGGACACCGTGCGTTAAGGTGTCCATTCTACAGATGTTAAGCCTGAGCACAGGAAAAGCGGTAAGCGGTAAGGCCACGCCTCGGTGGCGCCTGCTGACTTTCCCCAACATCTCGTGTGCCTGTGACCCTTGTTGGAGCTCCGCCCACTTCCCCAGAATCAGACAGCCTGCCCCTGCCATTTGCCCGGCGTGACCCCAAGGCAACTCAGCCTCATCAACAGTGACTCCTTACGATTTCTGTCCTGTTCCGTCAGTTCTGATCATGGCATGTTCGCCATTCCCGAAGATAGGCCCAGAATTCCCTTCACTCACCATGACATTGATAGTTTGTTTTTTTTTTTTTAGTTGTTTTATTGGAAGACCTGTCCCTCTCCGAGTCGGCGAGCGCATGCGGCAGATAGAGGCGGGAGGTCTCACCGCTGCGCTGGCGGAGGACGTGTTTTCCTGAACTCTGCACTTCAAAGGAAACCGCAAGTGGCGCAGCTGTTAGCCATGGCTTTGCGAGAGGCCGCTGTTCAAACCACCGGCACGGAGAATCCCGCCATCTTTGTTTGCGCACCTTGGGTGCTGCGTGGTCCTCCTTGCCAGCTCCCTAATGTGATTAGGCAACGAAACACGGCTCCCAACTCAAAAGGCAGGGGGCGGTGGAGCAGGGAGGGGGGGGCAGGCCTCATTACTGAGAGCACGTTCCCGTGGGGAGCCGCAGCGACAGATACGGGACCATTAGCGCTCTCGCTTTCACACGTGTGCCACATGTGGGTGCCACTCTGCGCTCACACTGCGACTCCTGCGGAGTTATTGGCATGGGGGGGGGGAGAGAGAGGCCAGGAGAGAAGGAGAGAGGGAAGAAGATGGACAGTGAGAGATGGGAAGAGGCAGGGAGAGAGAGAGAGAGGTGAGAGGGGGAAACAGCAAGAGAGGGAGAGAGGAGAAGAGAGCATAGAAGAGAGAGGGGGAGAGGAGAAGAGAGAGGGAGAGAGGAGAAGAGAGGGGGGAGCAGAGAGAGTAATAAGAAACAGCCTTGGGTTTCCAAACCCAGGAAATATTGTCCATTTTTCATTCTCCTAACAAGAAAGCCGTTAAAGACAGCTGAGTTCAAACATAATCCAGAGCTGCCGAAATGGAGTTGTGAAGCATCTGGAAGAAAGATCTGGCCCTTGGTTTGGCAGCAGTGATTGGGGGAGGGGGGGGGGCGGGCAGTGCTGCTTCCCAGGCCGCTGGTGATGTGACAGGCAAACATGCGACGTGCCGCACTACAGCCTTTCATCGGTCAAGCATCAAACGCAGGAAATGCACGTTAGCAGCATGTTCACGCACGTGGCAGCCTCTTGCAGGCCAGTGCAGTGCCTGTGTCTTTTGCACGCAGAGCTCTGACTGGCTGCTCTCTCATCTTCAGACGGCGGGCTGAGAGCCATTGACTGATGCTAATGGTAATGCAGTGCTACTGAACGGCGCGTTTCACTGCAAGCTTGTCAGTCAGGCGTAATTTGACCCTTTCACATGTTTCAACGTGGAAATGGGGTGAATGTGTGTTTGTGTTCGTGAAAAGCATCAGCGTCGTCTTTGTCTTACCAAGATTGCCCAGCTGTGCTTGTCGCTCAGCGATCTCAGGTGGGAGCGTGATTGTCCCGTTTGAGTTTGCCGGATTTCAGCTGCCGTGTTTTGCATGGCTTCTCCTAGACGACTTGGAAATGAAAACCCTGTGGAGGGGTAGGGGGTAAATTTGTATTTTTTTCCTTGCGGTGTTTTTGCTCTGAATCACATAGTTAGCAGCGCAGACAGCATCACCGGCAGAGAGGAGATCACATCATGCCAAATCTCAGCCGTAGCTGTAACCGTCGTCGTTGTTCTATATCCTGTCATTCCACACGGATGACCAATGGCCAGGCTCACAACTAACCTTTTTCCTGAACTTGCTGTAGTTTGTAACGTCAGGCTTCATCAGGAATAATTCCTCCCTGCCGCGCACTGATGCCTAAAAACATTAGATTGTTTATTTTTAAAGCTGGTCTTCATCCTGCTTGTTGATTGGTGCTGAATTCCTTCGGCACTTATAATCAATGCGACCGCTGTCGTTCTGCTCGGTGCTGTCTGGAAGCATTCTTCCTTGTTAATGTCTACAGACTTCACCAAAACAAGGGGGGATCTATGACTCAGAACGTTTTCCTGGTTAGAGGTCAGTGGAGTATCTGCTGCCAGTGCTCCCCCCTGTCATCCACCCCCACCTCTTTATTTATTTATTTATAAATCCAGCTTCTAGTTGTTTTTGGCCCTGGATGAGGTAACCGTGACCTCACGCCATGTGTGGGTAAAGTTTGCCAAACACACTAGCTGGCGTTTTTCCCTGTGCCAAATGTGACCGTGCCTGAGAAGTGCGGGCACTGGAGGGCGAGCCCTCGGCACCAGGGTCTGGAGAGCGGCCTTGGTCGGTCATGTGGCGTTCCGAGGGCTTCACCAGGGCACTCCCCAGCTTCTGAACTCCCTTCGATACGTAGAGTGAACCGCGTTCTCACAAGTGTTGGGTTTATTTGTGGGGCAGAAGCTTCCCACCGAGTTTAGTGCCATCTGTGGCGTGCGGTTCGTGCCGCACTGATGGTTTAATTGGCTTGAGATGCCTTTGAGAGGGAACCCTTTAAGGAAGATCCCTTTAAGATCTTTATTGTCCTGTCGTCTCTTCCATTGTGGGAAGCCGTATGGGCCTTCTGCTTTCCGCTGCCTACCGCCTCCTTGTGGTCAGTTTGAAGCGAGGTGTCCCATCTGCTGCAGTAACACTTTTCAGCTGTGGCATGTGGGACACATTCACGAGAGCAGCATCTAAAGGCCCCCCCCCCAACACGCACGCACGCCCCCGCTGGGACCCTCTCCTTTGTTATCGTTTATGCCCATTCACTTTATCGGGTCGTAAAAGTGGAGCGTGGGGGGGGGGGGGGGGGGGGGGG